TCCAAGCATATTCCCCCCTCAGGGTCTTTGAATCTGCTGTTCAATTGCCCTGGAATGCTGTTCTGCCATAGTTTTGCATGACTGACTCTCATTATTCAGATCTCCGCTCAAATGCCAACTCTCTAAGAGGCTGCCCTTGTCTCCCCTATTGAAAATGGTTTCTTTCCCACTCCATCCTTATCTCATTCCTTGGTGGTATGTCATTAGTAGCAGATATTACTGCCTAAAATAATCTTACTTGTGTACTCACTCGCTTCTAGTATGTTTCCCCATCCCTGGCCCTCTATCCAATGGGGATGAGAGCTCATTAAGAACAACTTTTGTTACTTTCATTCCTGGTCGTATCCCCTGCAACTAGAACCAAGCCTGGAACATAATAGATGCTCAATAAATATTTGTTGAATTAAGGAATGTGTGAAAGAATGATCTCACTCTGGCTTGGTCAAATATAATTTAAGATAGAGTACACTCAGAAGCAGAACAAAAATTCTTTCATTTCTGAACTCCCTTAAGGCAAAGATGGTCTATACATGAACTTAACTTTTCAGAGTTTGTGTGTGGAGGTTGGAGTGGTCCCTGTAATATTCATTTAGAGATGGGGAATACTATAATAAATTCAGTCCCTCATCTAACACATACTTACTGAGCCCACACTAAGTGGAAGTTCAATTCTAGATTCTGGTGATAGAGCAATGTATAAGTGGACAAAAATCTCTCTCCAGGTGGAGCTGACAGTGCTGACATGGGAGACACAGTGGATTTATGAAAAGAACACAGGTTTTGGAGTCAGAAAGATCCAGATTTTAATTCCTGGCCCATCATATACTAAATGTCTGTCTAGGCAAACTGCCTAACGTCCATACATTTCACTTTCCTCATCTGTAAAATGGGCATAAAGTTGACATCATGAGGTTGTTGAGATGAGTCAGTGACATGATGAACGTAGAGTCCTGAACACAAAGAATGAATGAATGGAATTTCCTTGCTTTCCCTCTCCCCTTGGGATCCCATTGTATCCTTTGGAAGATTTACTTTATTATTTTTTTTAATATTTTATTTATTTATTTGACAGAGAGAGACACAGTGAGAGAGGGAACACAAGCAGGGGGAGTGGGAGAGGGAGAAGCAGGCCTCCCGCCAAGCAGGGAACCCGATGCGGGGCTCGATCTCAGGACCCTGGGATCATGACCTGAGCCGAAGGCAGACGCTTAACCAACTGAGCCACCCAGGCACCTCTACCCTTTGGAAGATTTAAAGTGACCCCACACCACAGAGCCACATGCAGAGGCTCCAACAAGAATCAGAACGTGTTAGTTTCAAAGGAAGTATATGTTACCAATTGTCTCCTCTTCCAGCCTTGATTCAAAGCAGCCTTGTTTACCCCTCCCTTCCTGCTCACTCTCGGAGGAGACACCTGTAGTTCTGGCCCTAGTGATGCTGGGTAGTTGAGCCATCATTAATGCCCACAGCACCAGACAGGGGTGCACGCAGCTAAGTCTACAAGAGTTGTCATGTTGTAAGGATGGAATATGTCAGAGCGTATCCAGAATATACAGCATCCAAGTGGTACTTTTCTGTTTTCCTGTGATGTTGTGCCTTTGACATGGAGCAGGCCACATGAAACCCTGGGATCTGTGCCCATCAGGCAGCTGCCCCTGAAAGAGGGTGACTTGGTTTACTCTATCACACAGCAGGATCCCTGGGGAACCAAAGAACACCACTGCACACAGAGACCGGCACATCCTAAAGCCAAACAGCTGGGGGAGTAAGTTTTTGATGAAGACAGTTGTATTTCACACTTTTGAACAATTTGGGCACTGTTGTCACTCTTCCCACCTGCCTGCAATTGTCCCCAGATAAAAGACACCTCCCAGCATGCCCTGGTCCAAGAGGCTTACATTTGATTTACTTAACAGCTGGACTTTGGGCATGTTGTTAACCAAGGCACGTTTGGAGTCAAAGGGCACTGAGCTGTGATTGGGAGCACTTGATGTGTCCACAGCCAGTCATAGGTAGGTGATGTCATCATTTCCCTCACCCAGGTCAGGAATTTCAATGAGCTAATCTGCATAGTTTCTCTGGATCACAGTCAGCGACTATGACAACAATAATAATAGCTGATAATTATCAAGGTCTTTCTATGTTCTAAGTGCTTTTTGATTTAATCCTCACCCACCCCGTATGAAGTAAGGAACATTTCTATCCCCTTTTACAGATGAGGACACTGAGGCACAAGACTCTGCCCAAGGTCACACAACGAGGAAGAGAGTGATAAGATTTGAACTCGGACTGGCTGACTCCGAGGCCCCACTCTGACATTCTACCTCCTGGTGGAACCAGGTGTAAACTCTTTGGAGCCCAGCCTTCTCCATCCCACTCACTGCTGCACCCTGACACCCAGCGCAGTGTCCAGAACGTGATGGTTGCTAAGACAGAACAATACACTGGTTTCCCCAAAGATCACTACACACTAGAATTCCGAGTACCTGACAAAGCTCTAAGATAAAGGGGTTTTAGAGTCCCTGTTTTTCTAGCACAAGAGCCTCCCACTTCCGGTCCTGGATCCACCACACAGACAGTGCCAATTCCACTCAAGAATTAAATCTGTTACATAACCACATGGCAGACATGGGGGTGAATGGAGAAGCCACCTGAGGATGGCATTTGGCCACTCTTAGTCTCCCAAGGAGATAAATGGCCTGAGAGATAGAACTTTTCATCTCCTTATGAGCCTCCCTCGATATGAAAACTTTCCTTCATCTCCTCTCCTTGGCGCTTTCTATATTTTATTTTATTTTGGCCCTGCACATTATTTGAAGTTACTATAGCAACATGTCACCAGCTGGTATCGCGTAGTAATGTTGGCATTTAGGTAGCAAGCTCCCAAAGTTAGCTGCTTCCCTCCTTCTGTGAGCTCATCCCTCCCACAATTTCAGGTGAGTGGGGGACGCATCTGCAGCAACCAGGCCCCTCTCCCCCTTGGTTGCTTGGTTTTCAAGGCAGGGCAAACCGATTGCCTCTTCCTGATCCACTCAGCACTGCTGAGGTCTTGACTGTGTGTGAGTGAGTGTGTGTGTGAGTGTGTGTGTGTGTGTAGGTGTGTTTGCCTTAGAGGTGGTTAAATAGATATGTTTAAGTTGGGTGACGTGCACCCAACTATTGGCCTTATCAATATGAGGATATGATGATGATTTTTTTTTATGCAAAGGAGCCGAATGATTAGGGGAGGGCTACTCTCCTGATCCTAATCACCTAGTATCCCAGCTAATGAATATTAATCACAGGATACTGGGTTTCTCTTTTCTCTTTTGCCATCTCACAGTGAAGAGACCCTGGCTGTTTTCCTTTGGAGCTTCAGTGCTCTCCCAGGTGTGCGAGACCTCTCTCCATACTGATGCGCTGAATTAATTAAGAGGACTGATTTTCACGGATCGCTGAAGAGGGTTCTATGTGGCAAATAAGCCCTGCCACTCAAGGCGTTAAGTAGCCCCTCATCAGCCAAGTGCCTGCGATGATTGCACTTATTTTTACACGTTTGACCTAGTTTCAAACCGTGTCTCTTCATGCTGTGATTCATTAGCTACATTTTAAACCGCCCCGAACGGAGCCGAGGTGACTCTGCCTGGTTTGTGCCAGTGTCTCAGATACAGTTTCTCTCCGGGATTTAAGATGCAGGTCCCCATGGTATTCTGTTTTAAGAAGCAATTTCCCATCCAGGCACCCTGCATGCTGCTTGGCTATGGATGAGTGGCTGCCTCATGCCTTGATAGTAAATATATGTCATCTATACGGTTTCTGCCCGGGATGGGAAGAGGGGATTCTCACCAGCCTGGACTGCAGGGGACATGGGGGACTGCATGTCCCCCATGCAGTACTCAGGCTTGTCCATGTTGCCGGCAGGACTGGGAGATTTGGCTCCTACGCTATAAAGTTTGAGCAACGTCAATGTGAGGAGTGTCTGAGTTGCTAGAGCAACTCCCCCCTCCCCATTCCTCTGTCTCTTTCTAAACATTTAAAACATGGTGGATATAGAAGTAAGGTCTCAAACTCATAGAAAGGGAAGGCGGCAGGAAGCAAAAGGTGGATTGCCATGTTGAAGATAATACTGAAAAAAGGATAAACGTCAGAGAGGCATAATGTTATTCTATCATTCTCTCGTTATGTGACAAAGAGGGTTTTTTTTTTTTTTGCTTTGTTATTTGTTTTCTAATATAAATGACAGAAAGGAGCCTTTTCTGAATACGAACCTGCTGCTTGCGTCTCATGCCATTTCACTAATCAATCGATCACATCAGTGTGATTTCTGACAGATTTGGTGCTAAGGTGGGCTAGACACCAGAGTAGGAAAAAAGGGGTTCTTCCAGACAGATGTAAAACACTGTCCTTTTTCATTAACAGCCAAATGCAGGCAACTTGTCCAAACTTCAGTCACATTGCACTACAAATCGTGCTGTAAGGCACTGAGCTGGGTTTTTCTATGTGGTAGTTAGAAGGAAGAAATGAACAAGCTGGTAAAAGTAATTTTGATTGGCTGGTGGACTCTGACACACTGAGCAGGTCCTTATAAAAAATAGTGGTTTCTTTCATAAAATGGTCACTTTCTCTAGATGGGGACTAGGACCCTTTCCCCTTTTACTTTCTTTTAAAATGAAGCATGGAAGTTTCTCTAAACAAGGCTTAAGACAATGCAGCCTTTTCAAGGTAATTCCAAGCAACTTGATCTCTGAGGTTTGTTTTTTGCTTTTTTTCCCCCCACTTCAAATTCAAATCAAGCCATTGGAAATAACAAGCACTCCGTATCTATGCATTTGGGGCATCCTGCAGTTCTGACAATGGTAGATTTTCCACCACACACACACACACACACACACACACACCCTCACAATCTGAGGACTCATTTAAGCCAAAGCTTTAAAAGTAAACTATTGTCCAAGAGGCGATAGCATTTTCTCTTAGAAGATCATGGATCACAAAAAATAAAACCTACCCAAATCTCTTACCTTGAAGCAGTAGAATTACCTGCAGAGATGTCCTCCTTTTCCTTGCAAAATGAGCCAGGCTTTGGCCAGCAGCAGAATTACTCCAAAAGAAGGAATAATGGGTCCTTTATGTTGTAATTTTCACTGTTTGTATGCAAGAAGTGTAGTGGGTCTGCTCACGTAGGAATAAATAAAAAGCCGAACAAACTGCTCTGCAGCTACCATGTGAAAAGAAAAGACCTCTAGTGGTCACAGGCTGAATTCTTTGAGGAAAGGAGAGAAGAGATGGAGGGAGTAGAGGAAACACACGTGTGTGTGTGTGCACACACACATGCACACACACACACACCTCTCGAACTCTAAGATTTCTCCTTTCTGCCATCCAGCCTGGCCAGAGGGATACGCGATGGTTTAAGAGGGACCTGGTTAAATTAACAGCGATGGTGGTGTTCTGTCTGGTTTGAAAAGAACCAATAATTTCACAAACTCATCACCACCCCCTGGGGGTCTGAGCAGGAGAGGCTTTGCCTCCCTGGATGACCAGGACGGTTCATCCCAGTGTAGAGGCTCCAGGTCCCCATCAGCATAGCATCCTCACTGTTGCTCCCAAGAGTCCCAGCTTTACGCTTTCTGCCAGCTTTGCATGTTCTCTAAACATTTATGGAGTGTGAGCGCGCTGGTGGCCACCGGCAGGCAGGGCTGGCTTGCTGCGTGTATGACCTGGCCTGGTGCTTAGAATGGCACCTGGGGCTGTCGTGAAATTCTGAATAATTTTTAACAAGGACTCTTCATTTTCATTTTGTTCTGAGCCCCATGAATTATAATGCTGGTCTTGCTGACAGGGAAAGCATGTTATTCCTAATATCCTAATTGGGAAAAAAAACCTTTAAAAGCAAATGAGACTCCTGATCTCTGGGAGTTACCTTTGGGAATGTGAACTTGAGGAACGTTCAGTTATCCAAAAGACTTCCTGTGAAGGAACACAGAAGGAGCTTCTTGGGACAGTGAGGCTGTTCCTCCACCACTGTAACTAAACTGTAGAGCAGTAATCTACAAGCAGATGTATTTTTTTTCATATGTGTGTTTTATATACATATATATTTTTTCATATGTGTGCTTTATATATATATGTGTGTGTATGTATTATATATATAAATATATATATTATTATTTTTTAAACAAAAATAGCAGTTTGTGATACCAAACCCATTTTCTTGGTTCACACATAATATTTCCAGGCCCACCTCTCTGGTATGCCTTTTGTTGGACACCCTTTAGCAGTAGGGTTCCCTGGAGAGGCCTGCATCACATTGAGCAGACCATCTTCCACAAGCCTGCCCTTGACCAAACCTAGTGGGACTGCCTTTGACCAAGATGGCAGCCCTATTGGAATCTTGCAGGAGACAATCTTGCGTGGCTCTCTCCCCTGGTGGATTTGTGGTTGGTACCTCCTTTACAAGGTTTCCAGAGTAGATATCCCTAAATGCTGCTTGCCTAAATAGAAAATGTACCCTGATATAGACTGATAAGATTTGGGAGGGAGAAGGCAGAAGGGGCTGTGTGATGTATTCTGGTACATGAAGGAATATGGTTCTTGCTCCTCTGATCCCCTGGAGCCTTCCAGACCCACATCTTCTCCACATCCTTTTATTGATTCCTTTCTTGTTTGAATCCCTCTAACACTTGGTCTGCTTGGCAGATCAAAGGTCTTGTACATTTTCCCTCACGGATGTTAATCTTCCTTTCCCAACTAGATCATGAACTCCTGAAGAGCAAGGACCACCTCTTCTCATCTCTTTTATCTTCCAAGACCCTGAACAAGTGCTGGTTCCTGGTAGCTACTGGCTTCTCACTAGCTGATTCATGATGGTCCAACAACGGATCCCTCTATAGAGAAATTCATTGTATTCAAAGCATTAGAGGAGACTTTTGATCCATATTTGGGGGTAGATATGGGTGGATTATTGTCCCACTTTACAGATAAAACAACTGGGGCTTAGATATATAAAATTATTTATCAAAAAATCAAATATATCCTGGATCTTTTTTTTTTTAAGATTTTATTTGACAGAGAGAGACACAGTGAGAGAGGGAACACAAGCAGGGGGAGCGGCAGGCAGAGGGAGAAGCAGGCTTCTTGCGGAGCAGGGAGCCTGATGCTGGGCTTGATCCCAGGACCCTGGGATCTTGACCCGAGCTGAAGGCAGACGCTTAATGACTAAGCCACCCAGGCTCCCCATCCAGGATCTTGATACAGGCTAGATCTCCTGACACCAATGCAGTGGCCTTTTCCCAAAGTACAAGCAGCTGGAGAAGTGATGGATCAGGCTCTCTTTTCTATACCTGGAGCTCCCACTACAGTCCTAGTCACATAATAGGTGTTCAGTAAATGCTTTTTGAAGAAAGAGCCCATAAACGAGCCATAAGGAACCATTTCCTCATAGGGAAGTTTCACTTGCTGATCCAGTAAGCAGAGATTCTCCATCCTTGGAAGCCTTTTTATACTTGCCTGAGATGGTTGAAGTGTTTTCCAGTCTGAAGTCAAGGAATTGGGGAAGATCAATCTCATGGTTCTCTCTCCACTATTTCATGGCATTTTTTCTTTATTTCTTACAGAGCCACTTTGTGGCATGTATGACAGCCATCTTAAACCAGATGGGTGACCAGCACTATTCCTTCTATATTGAGACTTTCCAGACCAGCTCTGAACTTGTGGTGAGTCAGCACGATGCTGGGTGGGGGGCAGTGTAGGGGAGGCATGTTACACTCTTGGCTCTTAAGAGTGTAGCGCAAGAAGGTGTCCCAGTGGACCTTGTGTATATGTGTTTCTAGTTTACAAACATGTTCATGTGATTCCCTAGTTCTATTTTCCATTTAGGCTTGTGTTTACCACTCCTGAAACATGTCTTCAGTCCCTGTCAGAGATGAAACCTGAATGTCTAGTCTAAATATGCCTCAACAAATGTTTGTTGATGAATCATGGACGTTTGGGGGCTTAAGAGCATGAGTGATAAAATCACACAGTCTAGGATTTGCATCCAGGATTTGTCACTGGAAAGCTATGTGATGATGGGCAAGTTCCCTCTCTTAAGCCTCAGTTTCCCCATCTGTAAAGTGGGGATAAATTATTTATGTCATAGTGTGGGGAAGGGGTTAATGAGAGCACAGTAGCTCTCACATATTAAATTCTCAGTAAAAGGTAGCTATTTCTATATTATGATTACAAATACATGGAGGAAGTTGGCCTTTGAGCCCCCTTGCTCTTCTAGCCTCTCAGGACTCATTTGTTACAGAACAGTCTGCATGTGGACTGTGGCCTATAGGTTCATAGCTCTGTAGCAGATGACTTATCAACATAAAGCCCAGCCCAGGCTGTCCTGGAGGTATAGCAGTCCCTTTGCCCTCAACATGGTCATGTCCATCATTGTCTCCTTACTACTACTAGAATTAGGAATTCTGCTGCGGAGGCTCACTTTCAGCTATCCTTGGAGTGGCCAAGGGAACTAAAATTGGCCCAATCTCAGAGAGTGGCCCATAAAAAGGGAATTATTAGGAAGCCAGTATCCTACTCTTTCAGCCATTCAGCAGAGAGATGGTGTCCTCACTGGATCAGCATTGGCAAGAAATGTAACCTTTTTCTGGATACACAAAAAATAAAACAAAAGGAAAGCCAAATAACCCAGGATTTTTCCCTACGTTATCTATGTCATGGAGCATGGAAATAGAAAGATTAGGTTCCTAATTTTTGATCCTCAGTGGAAGGAAAGGTGAGAAGAAAGATAGAAAAAGGAATTCTTACTTATTGAACATATATACTCTGTTGCTAATTCTCACAACAGTATGACCTAGGAATTAGTGGTCACATTTTACAAGTCTACAATCTGCTTGCTCAAGGCCACATAGCAAGTATGTGGCAGAGTAGGATTTGAACTTCTCTCCTAATCCTTAGAGCATGCTATAGCTTCTCATTCAGAAGCTAGGTTTTTCATCTATGAGCTGGAGGCCTTCTCTGTTCCCATTTGAAGGGAAGGAGCTTGTGATGATATCCGCATTTCCCCAGGTGATATCAAGGATGAATAACAATACTCGCCATTGTCATGACCCAGCACTTAATGAGACTTACAGTGGGCCAGGCTCTGTGCTGAGCATCTTTTAGACAGTGTGCACTTAATTTTCACAGTAACTCTTTGCGTTAGATGTTATCCCCATTCTGCTGATGTGGAAATTGGGACTTAAAGCATTGAGGTAATTTTCCCCAGAAGCAAAGATTGCTGAAAAGGAACCAATCTCATTTCCAGAATTTTGCAATTTAGCTTAAAGTAGTGATTTTAAAATTATATTCCTCCCATCCTCACTATCCCCTATCATAAACACACACACACACACACACACACGTCAACCACAGCTATTCTATTTTTACCTATTTTATATATTTGGTTCTGAGTAGTATTTTCTTTGGACAAACAATTATGCTGTTAAAATAATTGGAAAACCACTAGCTTAAGGAAAGAGCTCTGAATGGGTTTCCTATGGATTTTAACTTTTCCTGAAAGCAGACAGAGTATGATTTTGCTTCTTCCAGCTCAGGAGCGTCCACATGCCAGGGGTCCTGGTCTTGGTTATCTGGATTTGTCTTAAATTTGCAGTCTCCAAAGATGGAGCACAAGCTTGGTCTGCTGCAGTATCTGCTGGAGTGTGTTGAGGTCCACTCTCAACCTCTTCGAATGAGAAGTTGTATTTCCTCTAATCTACCCATGGATGTGTCTGTTATATATGAACTAGCTGTGTTTACAGTGTACTGATAATTAGGTGGTCATGGTAATAACTGTTTGCTACATGACCTGAGATGACTTCACAAAGTGTAGAATATTTCCTTCTTAAATACATATTTGAGAAGATGATTATAAAAATGTGACATCAATAGATGCATTTACTTCTTTCCTCCCAGAGACAGAATTACTAGTGCTTTGTTTTGAGAGTGTTTTCACATCCCATAGTCACATTCCACTTGTATTTGTGAAACAGTCTTCTGGTAACCAACGTGAAGCTTCCATTTAAAAATCCACTGCTATTGGTTCCATTGGATTTATTTAATGAATGCCCTTTCCCTTTCTGCCCCTCTAAAAGTAAATAATAAAGAAAAAATTTAAGCAGCCAACAAGGTCCGGGTCCTTCCAGTCAGTTCCTATGAAACAAGATGA